CCTTCTCTCGGTCGTTTCTGGACGAAAGAAAATGTGGTGACAATTTAAAGAAAGCTTGCAATATAAGATTGAAATGCATTGAACATAACTTGATCATTAATTGTTAGAAAGTTTGAAATTACAATTGATTGAAAGTAAGAAATTACAATGGCTAGTACAGGGGGCGAACACTAGAAAGTTTGAAAGATTAATACCCCCTATAATAGATTTAACAATAAAAACCCAACTGGCGGGAGTAAATGTTTAAAGTCTCTAGAATTATACTAAAATTTTCTAATTTCCAACTATTTTATAATTGAAATAAAATATTTACAATGTACGACCGAAGTTAAACAAATTGTGACTGCGATAAGGTCAAAGGATTTAAGTAAAGATGTGGTCCGTGACAACATGTCTGTCTTGTTTCCTTCAACCTACCAAATATTTTTTCAATGCGAACAGAATCTTATGTTAATTTATTTGTATCTCTATTTCACTTTGTAAAATCCATAAACACGCCTAATAATGACGAGACTGCAATCATACTCCCTTCACGGTCCCTTCTCCACTATACCACTCGCACACGCGCACACATACTCATTAGAATTAATCCCCAAGGACGGAAATAATCACAGAATTGGCATCGCACTGATTTTTTTCCCATCTTCCAATGATTTGCTGCCATGTGCATATTTGTGAAAGAATTTTGTACTTGTAGCAAAACGAGTTGGAGTCGAAGTAACCACAGATGAACAAGGACATGATTGTAAAGAATCTGATTACAAAAATATCGACAAGCCTCAATAATAACAATCATTATAGCTGCAGATTACAAATATAGACTGCAAACAAGAGAAGGACATGCCAACGAGCGACCTATATTGTCACAGCTTCCACTCCAAAAGGTCAGCTCGGCTTCAATATCCAGGGTTTCTTGCTGATTCATAATCACCAGGATCATAGTCTAAGTCACAAGATCAGTTCTTTTTCCCAACATGGTCCATTTGTTCTTTCTCGACACAAGGGAAGAGTCATTGGCATGCTTGTTACAATTGTACAAAAATGGGATAAATTATAGATAATGGTAAGGAAGAAAGGACCCACGGATTTATACTGCTGATATTGGACTATTTGTCATTGTGTGCTGCGTGTCAACCCACTTCTTGATGCACTCCTGCACAAAATGATAGTGTTGAATGAGAACTGGTAGTATTATAAGATAATAGTCCTAAAAAGAAGGTACCAGACACGATAATTTCAAGATTTACAGATTCTGCATGAGGTAAGTCAACGTGAAATCTTTACAATCGATAAAACACCTGAAATCTTTTTTTAACTAATAACACTAAAGCGTGGGATACACATTTCAATGTGTAAACCAGTTCAATAACTCTGTGCATGGACTGCCATGGAGCATCTTGTTTTAGAGAATAAGCACTGATAAGATTGTTTACATATGCTTGTATTTCTAAGATATGCTTCCATTAATTACCCGTTCTTGTACATATTTTATATTACTTTTCAGTAGCACGTTGCACTTCATATTCAATTCAAAAATTACTTGTTTACTCCCTCCCACAACTGTGCTGAACAATCAGAATTCCAACCATTTTCATAAAAGCTTTCTTCAAAGTTGGTTTGATTTGGCATCGAATATGGTGAGTTCGCTCTTATTCAAACATAATATAAGTTTCATATTCACATTCACCACACGATCAAATATATTCACCCCAAGAAATGAAACAAGGAAGAAAAATAAGAGTTTCAACTCATAAATTAATTTTCCTCACAGTAAGTGCACCATATATCCACTAAGAATGCAAGAGAACAAACAGCAGAGGCACAAGACTCCTAAGGGAGAAAAAAGACGGGAAAAAAGCCAAAAAAGAAAAACAAAAGGTTGGTTATAAAGCAGCTATTAACCTCTATGCATGCTTGCCACTACAAAATTGGAAATCATCAATAAAACTATAAACTTTTATATCAACCACAAATGTTGAACTATTAAGCGTTGGAATTAAAACTGAACCAATCAGGAATAGTTGGCAGAACATTGTAAAGAGCAGGCATACCTTCCAGGGAGTAACTGAGAACTGTTAAGGGAACTCTTAGAATTCCCAAGTCGTTTGGCCCTATTTTCATGATCTTTCTCTGTACGCATGGCAGTCACCTCCTTCTCCATAGCAGCTACCTCTCTTCTCATCTTTTTGGCCTCAATCTCCATGGCTTTTGTCAAAGTTTCTACCTTCTTTGATAGCATCTGATCAACAAGAAAGGTAAGGTTTTGAGTAGAAGCGAATAGAAGGTAATCATAACATCACTAAGAAAGAAATCTACCTCAATTGCATCATCCTTGTCTTTAAGGCTTTGGTCCTTCTCATGACCAGCTTTCCTCAAGGTAATCACCTCTTTCTGTAACAGATCATATAACAACCCTGGAACGGTATCCTCTGTATCTGTAGCTTGCACGTCACTAGAGTTCTCTTCTTGGTCCGGTTTCCAAGTACTATCTTGTGTCTTACTCTCCTTAGTTCCATCACACGACTGGCTTTGTTTGAAATTTGATCCTAGTCTATTTAAGAGGCTTTTACCCCTGTCCAAAGATCGTGAGCCACCATCAAATGACTTTGAGGTCCCTTTTGCATGCTTCAACACGGAACTACTCCCAGAAGATCTCAGCTGAAAGGAAGGTGACCTCTTGGGTAAAAAACCATTGGAAGTCAACTTGGAAATGCTTTCAGCTCCACCCAATGATTGGCGACGTGGAGGAACATTGTTAGTACTTCTTACATCTGGCATGCTGCGATTGGGAGTGTTTGGTGATCTCAAAGTCTCTTCAAGAACTCTTAGTCGCAATTGATATTTCTCCTGGAGGGCAACGTGAAGTCTTAATTTTTACAACAAAATGAAACTAAGTTAAAAATTCTAATCAGGTAGGGACACTTAATAAGCTGGTTTACTTTTAAATAGGCTTCAGATTTTGAAGTTCTCTCAGCTATAGCAAGCTTGTCCCGTAGTTGCTGCATCTCACTCTGTGATAACAGCCATTAATTAATAAGAGAACTGGTGAAAATTACGAGTAATAAACCATCAGTCATCATAGCACAGAGGAAGCCAGATAGAAAGGGAAGAAACATACTTGCAAGAACCTTCTTTCTTCTAGCCATTGTTTTACAGGCATCACTTTGTCATTAGCATCTTTCCATTCATTTGCCACCACAGTTGCCACCCTGTTTGCTGTTACTCTTGCACGAGCTAGCTCTCTATCAAGAGTCTTTCTTTCCTCCTGAAAAACAAAATTTAAAAATGTTACACTTGTTAGGTTGTATCAAACTCTCTAATAGACCCCATCTGTACATGCAAGTTGATCATGCAGATCTCTGTGGCATATTACATTCATCTCCTGAAACTTCCGCTGGTAGTCCCGTACAGCATTAGCAGCTGCACCACCAGCAAGCACAGACTCTTCGAGTTCATGCACAGTTTGGGTAAGCTTTTCAACATCTGCAACCTTTTGTCTATGCATTTTATCCAAAATTTTATTCTCTTCCTGATACACATGTTAGAATAAAATCTTGTCAGAAATAGGAGGGAATCAGAAGAATATAAATTACAAATTTTATTGGCCCTTAAAAATGAAAGAGTAGGCATGATTGAAATACCTGACAGATTTCTATCTGCTTCATCAACTCTTGGTTCTTGTTTTGGAGATGGTCCACCATTGAAGCCTTTGCCAATGCTACTTGCACAGTTCTCTCTGCTTCGAGCAGAGCAGCTTCTTTCGATTTAGTGAGTCGTTCCAAGGCTTTGTTATCGTCCTGCAGTTTTGCAATCTAAAAGGAACAAAAGGCAACGAGTAAAAAACTCTTCCCCAAACAAGGTTCCAGTTTTGACATAATAAGCAGACATCAAAGCAAAGAAACAACACAGCAGAAACCTCTTGTCGAGCAAGTTTGAGCTCAGCCTCCAAGGGTGCTAGTATTGCTTCAATTGGAGGCATATCATCATCCTTTTGAGCAGCATGAACTCTCCGAAGAGTGGCTTCTGCAGCAAACTGAGCTGCCATGGAGGCCTTCTTCTCATCATTGATTCTCTTAATTTCAAGATTCTGATGCGAATAAATTTCTCATTAGCACTGTCATCGAAATATAATAAGAAAAACGAAAGCTCTAGTAGGTACCTTGCTTTCAAGAAGAGATTCCGTTAGCTTGAGCTTCTTCTCCACCTTTGCCAACTCCTCTGTGAGCTACAGCAAATAGGGGAGATCTCAGCTTCCACTGAAACTCGGGAAGATCATTCCATGCATCTCACAAATTACAGGGAAAATGTAAAAGAGAAACAGGAGCATACAAAGAAAGCAAATACCATGTTGATTGATCACAAAGATAGCCAGGATCAAACAGTTTAAGCATTGTAAAACATTACATTTGATACAAGAGAAAAAGTTCACAGTTTCTTTGTGTTGTTTGGGCTTACGAAATAAGTTTTTTTTTTTTTTAAATAAAATTTAAAAAAAAATCTTAGAGGGCGCTTGGCACTCATTAATTTTTTTCATCATTAATTATAACCATACATTCTCTAAATAAAATAATATTACACGCAAATCTAAAACTTTTCATCACTATTCCAAAATTTTTAATTTCCCAAAAATGGGTGCCAAACACATGCTTAGTACTTGCTCGTTTTTGTTTCTCTTTTTTTTTTCTTCAAGGGGAGGGGGGAAGGAGAATATTTTACAAATTGCAGTTGGAACAAAAAGTAAACTTAGATTCAATAATTTAGAGACTGAAACAAATGGTACGATATTTTCCCTTTTTCCACCTGGAATCATGGGACAGTTTGCGATACCTCTTCTACTACTGCCTCTCATCACTTCTCAAACACGACAGTATTCATACATGCAACTGATAAATGAGACTGACAAGATGCTAGAGATATATTCAAAAATCATCCAAATAAATTTGGCATGCTGAATGTTTACAAAATAAAGAATGACAGACAAACAAAAATTAAAAGAACACGATCACAATGGCAGACATAAACATTTTAAGTTAGGGGACACATTCAAACTTGTAAAAAAGTTCTGAAAAACAGAAAATCATTTGACATCCTATTACAATTGTTCTCTACGCGTTTTCATTCCCAACATCCTCAGCCATAGTTTCAACCGGAATATCTCCAAGATTAGTTTCATCCCCAACATCCATTTCATCACCAAATCCGTCATTCCTTTCATCTCCAACATTATTTTCATCCCTTTTATCTTGAACATTATTTTTATTAATATTTTGCTCATTACCAGAAAACGCATATCTACGTTTAAATAATTCATCCATAACCGATACAAACAATTATTTAAAAAAAACAATTCAAGTTATCGGATGGAAAAATATTCCACCAATATTTAATACTAATAATCAATTTAAATAAACACGATTCAATAAATATAAGCCAAATTGGACAGCATCATTCAAGGCCCATTCTATATACAATTCAAAAATTATTCCATACAACATAAATCATTCCAAACCCATTCCAAATCATTGACACGATTCAATATATAAAATGTAAAAATCATTCCTAAACATAATCGGACAAAATGAAAACATACTATAAATGTAACTCAAACCCATTTTCTCTACCACTTCGAATTTTGGTCAAAAATAAATAGAAATTTGAAATTATAAGTAACTGTCGTGTGCCTTGGTTACCTTTCAATTTTTAAAGGCAAAATAACTTAAGTTGATTGTGTCGTAATGGCGGTCACTTTGCATCAGTGTTAGAACAAATTGGTAGAAAAAAAATGCAAATTTAGGTTCTAATTAGTTGGAAATTTTATTGGAAAGCGAAGATTCGTAGATGTGGTAATTTATAATGAAATTATAGAAATTTTTTGAAGAATTAGAAGGGTTAGGGTTTTGGTAAAAGGGTTGAGGAAGAGAGTCGCGAGAGAGTGAAATAAAATGCTAGATGTTTGTGGTTTTGTCCAAGAAACAAAAAGGCCAAAGTTGGGGGGTCAAGTGACCCCCCATGAGACCACCCTCCCCTCCGCCCTGCACGGTCAGTTTAATATCCAAGTACTAGTGCCCATTTAAATGGAACAGCCTAACATTTGCAGTCCCTAACGAAAATTATTCTAAAGCTAAAATCGACTAACAAGCTGAATTGAACTAAGAGAATCCACATGAACTCGAAGAGTTAGTAATTGACATGCATGAAGAATTGAACAAATCAGTATGAGGAGGAGAACATTGATAAAGAAAAAGAATATGTTTTCCAAATCTTACAGTTGCCATTGGAACTTTGAACTGGTGATAAATATAAACAGAAAGAATCTCTTTTCTTGATAATTTGCTACAACTTGGTAGTAAAAGTGAAAATCGACACTAAAGGAAGAAGATATTTTTTTCAATTATCTTACTATTAGAAACTATTTTCTTGTCAATGAGATCTAACTAAAGTATCAAAAGGCTGAAACCTTAAATAAATGAGATTCTCCCATCTTATATGTCTCTATTACAGTACACTTCAAGTAGACTTAAATCAGTTGCAAAGATTCTCTGACAATATACATCTTCCATTGCATCCCTATTTCTTAACTCAGAAAGACAAACAAGGTAACCATTTTACAGTTCAGTTCTAGTTTACTTTGTAAATCCTGAAAGGGAAAAATGTTCTTGTCATTTCCTTTGTTTCTTTAGTTTCTCTCTAATTCGAAGTATCATATCTGTGCACTAAAACTCGTACGGTCCACATTGCCCAAAAAATAATAGATGGCTTCAAAAAATTCCAATTTTCACTTTACCATGCGCTATTTATACTCCTCTTCCTTTTGGTGTCCTGCTCCGCCGCAATTATGTCAAAAATCAATATTTTTATTTTAAAAAAAATCGATCTGTCTATGTGTGCCATTAACCTTTCAATCAATGCTGAATTTCCCACTTCCATACACAACATTGTACAACCACAACCTAACCATTTACAGCATAGAAATCAGTTAAAATTTATGAAAGGTTAATATAATAGGAAAATAGGAGACAATGGAACCTCTTCAACAGCTTTTTCACGAAGGCGCTCTGAGAACTTCAATGCCTTGATTTTAGATTGCGCTTCTCCCAATTCCCTTTCCTTATCTGCAAGTCACAAAATCCAAATCAAAATGCCATTGTTTCACACATTAAAACGACCTTAATACATCTTATATATCCATTTATCTTTCAGCAATTCCAAAGACGAATTATGCTATTTGTACATTGACCGTTGACAACTTTCTGACATTCAACGATGTGTAAAAATACGTGGCATTGCTTGTTTTAATAGTTGTTAAAATCGATGTTAAAATTGTTGGCAACCTCACACACGCTGTCGAGAGAACTGTCAACCAAAACTGTACTCTCCAAAGAAACAACAGCCTTTCGTACAAAAGCTACCAAAGCACAACACAAATCTAGTGGATCCAGCATGAGAGACTGACCTCTGACTTCATTTTCCAGGCGATTGAGCTCCAACTTCACTGGATCCGAGCCGTGGAGCAGGTTTATGAAGTCATCGGAGTCCAAACTAGGCCGGAACGATGTCCTCCGCCGCGATGAGGAGCCTTTGCTCACCTCCTTGAACGACGCCATCGGGGCCGCGCTTGGCCTTGCATTGCTACTCGTTTCATCGGAACTCAGCTCCAGCGTCGCTCTAACACTTCCGTCGCCGGAAACCTCCGCCATATCCGATCTATTATCCTTTCCACTCGTGCATCAAGTATCAAAAACCTCCAAATCAATAATATCTAGAACGTCCGAAATTATACCCACACTTCCCAAGGATTTATGTAGTTATACCTATACACAAATAGAGAGAGAGAGAGACAGAGATAGAGACAGAGTAAAAAATGCAGTACCTAAACCAAAATGAGCGATTTAAGTTCAAATGATGTGCTTTCGTGTTTAGCCACTCATTCATTATTTCCAACCCCCCACCCCAAAAAAAAAAAAAAAATCATTTTCAATCAAATATTCTCGCAATAAAAAATTTTGCACCTAAACTCAAAACTTTTTCTTATTTTTCAATCACACATTCTTAAAAAATTTACTATAACTCTGTTTGGTAGAGATTAAAATCAGTTTTTAGTAAATTTTAATAAAAGTTGATGAAATGTGTAGTTGAAAAATTATTGACCATATGAAATATGTCGTTAAAATTAATTGTTGATTTTGATTTGAAATTTTAATTGAATTTTAATCCAAACGAAACATGGGCTATTTCAAAACTCATTTTCATTGAATAATGATAGATAAATAGAGACTCAATAATATTTTGTACACCAAGAGAAGTTAAAAATCATATATTCTACCCAAGTATTTCGCAACTTGTTAAATTTTGAATAGAAAGTTGAGCAAATATCTCTCGACCCATTCTAATGGAGTTGATTCATTGTTTTTAAAGAGAGAATTTGAACATTGTCTATACGTTTAAGAAGGTCCAAATTCAAGTATCTTTCAACGCATTCTAATGGAGTTGAACTGTTGTTAAGTTTTGAAGAGAAAAATTAGACACTTGTCTACACGTCTGTAAGGTCCCGACTGAAGTATCGCTTGTCTCACATTTGAGAGATACACGTAACATATTTAATTGTCTAAATTTTTATATCGAACGGTTCAACTATCTCTCTTTTTGAAAAAATACGAAAATTCTTATGTGAGTGGGAATGCTTGTTTTTACTAGTTAGTATGTGAGAGAGATAGGGACAGCTTGGTATTACTGAGTGTGAGAGAGGGAGAGAGTTGGTGTGCGTGTTTTGAGGGTGATTAGCTGTATGTTTTGGGAACGAAAATAGCATTTCAGACAGTGCAGCGCATTAAAAGACAAAAGAAATTTGGAACTATTGTACTATTGGCTCCCAATCAATTTTCATAGTACTAAGTCAGTCCTTAAACTTTAAAATGGAGTAAACTAGTACTCAATCTCTGATTGTTACGGTACATTCAGTCCCTAGAATGCATACCGTCCATTAGAAACCTCATGAGAAAACAGCGACTCGCTTCATAAAATTGGACATACAAGGGATAAATAATTGTTTAATACAAGTTTCGGTGGTTTATTATTGATGATTGATTATGCAAGTATAAAAAAAATAGTTGAAAATGAACTTGATCATTTTTAGAGATCGGGAATTAAGGGTAAAAAGAAGCGGACCACGGGTGCAAGAGTGCATTTGTCGACACTTCATTAGAAGTTCGGATAGTCAGCATTTTTTAATATTTATATCAATTTTATCGAGAGAAAAAATAGATAACTTTCGAATTGTAGTGTTTTTTTGGTTCATTTGAAAAAATAAAAAATTAAGTACTAATAATGAGGTGTTTATATGTCACGATTTTCCAAAATTCTTGTGCCAAATTATCGAGAGAAAAAATGAAGAACTTTTTAGATTGTAGGGTATTTTAGCACATTTGAAAAAATTAAATCAATTAATAATGATCAAAATGATTAGCACACGTGTTTGCTTCAAAATAAATTCACACGTCAATAATTAACTGAATAGTAAAACTACCAAACTCACTATGAGCAAACGTTTTACTTTCCCTATCTAAATTTACGTCAAGACAAATATTCGAACAAATTAGGCATTACTATGAAGAGTCAATAATAATTATTGAGTCCAAGAACTCCATCAACGATGAGAACGAAGTTGAACGCATTTCGAAATCGAATAAACTTGTACTAATAAAACCATTTGTGTCCAAAATATTTGTTCATCTCCTTGATTCTATACGTATTCTCATCTTCCTTCCTTCCCAATTCACCTTTACTTCTAGCACCAAGGTCACCATAACAACCATCAGTGACGTGTCGCCCTCTATAGATAATTGATTCCAACTTAAAAATTCGACTCGAGTACAACTCATTTGATTCTTGTCTATCTAGCACCAATTCAACAACACCCTCACCTTTAAACACCGTATAATATGGACCGCTCACAACCTAAAACTCAGAATTTAAGTCTTTATCTCATTTTTTCAACGATCTCAAGCAGAAATATTAATTATTGAATTCTCTAAAGCTTTGTCCGTATATAGGGTTCGAATAGGCATAGAAATGAAAACATTAATGACCCGTCTGTCATAACTATCGTGAATAGAGCATTTGTGGGTGGAGCCATTGTTAGTAGAGTTGTTGATTCTTTTTATTGTCAATCCAAATAAATGACGATGCTTATGCACCAAGAAGGCGGGCTCCCAACCAACCAACAAAGTTAGCTAAAAATCTGCCTTCCCAACAAAAGCAATTAATTGTGAATTAATTAATTAAGTATAAGCTTAAACTTATTGACAATAGCATGTTCAGAATCCTAAGGGTAATGACACTGGGAGGAAGCCCATTGCCCCAACTATCTCTATCAATACCCTACTTTTCGTGGCTTTTTTGACTTAGTCTAATTGATAATTAATTGGATTATTAAAATATGTTATTTAGGTGACAAACAAGTTCACTATAATGACATTCGAGTCCATAACAAGAAAACAAAAAGCCTTAAGGCACGGAGATTTTTGGAGTGCTTTAGAAGGAAAATAGCAAATGATAGAATTTTTAATTACGTCTAACAAATAAATGAGTAAAATTCGACCAACGATTTAGATTATTAGTCCCTATTCGTCAAACTCGACAGATATAGGAATTTGATTAGGAAATTGATCGGAGTGGGGAAAACTAGAAATTTGTAGGAATTTTTCAACCGAGCAATTCTAGAAGTTATAGGTTACCTCATAAATGGAGCGATTACAATGGTGAAGGTGGTGGTATGGAAAGGTGGTCAATGTTCTGCGACGGCTATGTAACACGACTTGGTTGAAATCGATTCATTGAAAATAATTATTTTCAAAATCAGATATTTATGAAATCAATTAATTGAAGTATTTGAAAATTAAATTTATAAATTCTGTCACTCTTAACATTTGTACAAATAATTCAATTAAACATCACTCACATTGTTAGCAAATTATAGAGAGAGAAACTCTTCAAAATCTTCCAATATTCAATATGGAGAGAACCTCATATCACAATTCATACTCCACACGTTGGGGAGGGTTTGGGATTGCTAAACCCTAACTTCAGTGAACGCTTTATCAAGTCATATGAAACGGAAAGAAGGTCACATGCCCTACAATAGACATTACATTAACATAGTATATAAGAGGTAATAACACATATTACTCACATGTCACATTACATCCGTGGCAAGTTATCATCTTCAACGTCGCGATCAGTGGTCATCATAAACATGTGAGATAAGTGGTCACAATATATTCTAAGATACCAAAATTAAGGAAAAAATGAAGAAGGTGACCAAAATGCAATAATTGAAATATGGCATAACTGGGCAACCGTCCAGCTATAAATGAGTAAAATTCGACCAATGATTTAGATTATTAGTCCCTATTCGTCAAACTCGACAGATATAGGAATTTGATTAGGAAATTGATCGGAGTGGGGAAAACTAGAAATTTGTAGGAATTTTTCAACCAAGCAATTCTAGAAATTATAGGTTACCTCAAAAATGGAGCGGTTACAATGGTGAAGGTGGTGGTATGGGGAGGTGGTCAATGTTCCGCGACGGCTATGTAACACGACTTGGTTGAAATCGATTCATTGAAAATAATTATTTTCAAAATCAGATGTTTATGAAATCAATTAATTTAAGTATTTGAAAATTAAATTTATAAATTCTGCCACTCTTTAACATTTGTACAAATAATTCAATTAAACATCACTCACATTGTTAGCAAATTATAGAGAGAGAAACTCTTCAAAATCTTCCAATATTCAATATGGAGAGAACCTCATATCACAATTCATACTCCACACGTTGGGGAGGGGTTTGGGATTGCTAAACCCTAACTTCAGTGAACGCTTTATCAAGTCATATGAAACGAAAAGAAGGTCACATGCCCTACAAAAGACATTACATTAACATAATATATAAGAGGTACTAACACATATTACTCACATGTCACATTACAACCGTGGTAAGTTATCATTTTCAACGTCGCTGTCAGTGGTCATCATAAACATGTGAGATAAGTGGTCACAATATATTCTAAGATACCAAAATTAAGGAAATAATGAAGGTGACCCAAATGCAATAATTGAAATATGGCATAACTGGGCAACCGTCCAACTATAATAGTCGGGCAATCGCCCAGCTTAAAGTTTCAAAAGCAAGGAAGAATTAATGTGCCTAGGTGATTGTCTGGTTTTCTACTGGGCGACCGCCCAAGCCAATCATGGTCAGGGTCGGTTATGTGATTTTCAAAGCTTGAGACAAACCTTATAAATTAGGCCCTCGGATTTTTTTCTCTTTGATCCCTACGTAGTCATGCCCATGGTCAGTGCGATTTTTAACTAAAGTCTGTTAACTTTACAAGTCATAACATACTTGAAGATCGAACCAGCGTAGAAATGTGAGGACATGTTCGAGCCTTGGGGCAATGCGAACTACCCCCTTGTACCTCAACAATCAGGTGAGAAATAGTAGGAGAGTGAAAATACACTTATCAATTAATTACTCACTAAAAATTAATAATTAAGATATGACAAAACACTTAGAATTATAGACGTTTTTGAAGACTTTTTGGAGACTTTTGAGCATATAAATAGACTCTTCTCAGCTTCAAACCCAAATACTGTCCTAGCGTACTCGGTCCCTTTTATTTGGGTATTTGAACAGGAGACATGTCGCGAAGCAGGTCTTCAATTTCCAAAGCCGCTCTCTCCTCTGAAGCCTTGAACAGCTTTCTCTGTTCTTTTAATTGTTCCAAACGCTGCACAGGGTGATTAAGAACTAAGAGTCGTTATATCAGATGCTATTATAGAAAAGTAACTAGACAAAACATTACTTGTTTGGAGGTTGAACGGATATCATTAAAGACGAAAATAAAGTTAAAATCTTGTCTATACCATGCAATTTTGTCTAATTTACGTACCAAAAATGCACTAAAGGGTTTAACAAGTTTACCTAATTCGGTGTTCTTTAAAAACAAAAAATGGTTAAGGCCAAAATATTACTTGCTTTTTGCAAGTAATTTGGGACAAAAAATACTGAACAACATCAAAAGATTAAAACGAAATAAATAAATCTCGTCAGCTGTAGTATTCAATACTCCATATAAGCAACTGTGTGACTAAAAAACACGCACTGCAAGAATATCAAAGAGAAATGAACATGAAGATATTACCACTTTCTAGTGTTAGCTTTTACTATGCGAGGATCTCTATCTCCTCCACCAGAACATAAAGTGGTAATATCTTCATGTTCATTTCTCTTTGATATTCTTGCAGTGCATGTTTTTTAGTCACACAGTATATTATATAGAGTNTAATCTGTTATTACGATTAAATGAACTCGATGAATCTCCCATCCTTTTCCTTGGGTTCTTGCAGCAAAGTTCATGGTCGTGAAGCTCTCCTAAAAACTCCATCAGCTCATCGTCCAGTAAATTTGGCTCACAGCTTTTCCTTGGAACGTCCTGTGAAGATGGATTCACAGAAAGTTCTTTTAACTTCCCAATGGCCTCAGAGAAATCATTTCTTCCCTTAAAAGAGGATGAATTAGTTGGATTTTTGCCAATTGAAATGCCTTTGGTGACACAAGTTCTCGCTTTGCTCACATCATCTTTCTTTGTTGCCTGCAGCACAAAACGATTTCTTAGTGACTTTAGAAAAAAGGAAAATCCAGGGCCAACCCCTATAGCCTACAACTCCTACAGGTGTAATCTCGGGAAAAAAAAAATCTTACCATTGTGAATTTTGCATTGCCTTTGGTGACACGAGTACTGGCTTCTGTCAAGTTATCTTTCATTGTTTCCTGCAGCACACAAGGCTTTCTTAGTGACTTCAGGAAATTGGTGCGGAAGCAGAATTGAAAATTTTAAACAATAATAAAGTTGAACATCTTGAAAATACCTAGAAAATAATTTTATTATAAGGGATTGGTTATTGAAAAGTATATAAAGCCTTTGTTTATTGAATGGTGCTAGGAGTACAGGACTAAACTTACAGGCACATTACAGGAATTTAAAATCTGGTGATGTGGCAGTTGAAAAAAAGGGACGTGGCAGTTGAAAAAAAAAGGAAAAAGAGATTGAAAAGAGGGGAGGCAAAATCTTCCTACTCCTTCTCGCCTCAACTCTCTCGTGGGAATTCAATTACCGACGACGGGACGGCGACGATGATATATCCGGTTGGCTGGAGAGAAAGATAAATGAGCTCAAGTTGAATGTTTACCAAGAAAAGAAGCAGACCAAAGAATGGGAATTGCTGCAGTTGAAAGAATTTCAGCCACAACAGATTCAACGCCGATTACACAAGTTTACATTCCCGGCGGCCAAACCATGTAGAGTCCAAAGACACTAAAATTCTTTGCAGATCATCGGATTATGAGTATCGAAAGTATGAGGTTGGGAGGGAAAGAAGAGACTCCACAGAAATTCAAAGCATTACTTCTCTGGGGATCAATGGTAAACCAAAATTTTCCTTTATAATTGATCTGACACCCATTTCCATCAAAAGTAAAAATAAATAAATATAATGTATGGTTTGTCTATTGTTGTTCATCCACGGTCTTCTCTTCCAGCTGTCCCTTGATGAACCCATTCAACCAGCATTTCCTACCTATTCAAATGGGGATGAAGAGTCGGGATGCATTTCCGTTTACAAGCCGAAAATGGGGATGAATATTTTCAGCCGGTCAATATTTCCGTTTACCAGTCGAAGTACGCCGGATTTGGAGCCGGATGAAGAATGGCAACCACTGAAAATAAAGGTTTTGGAATGGCGGTGAACGACTGAAATGGAGGTGTGAAATTGTGGGAGAAAGAAAATGTTTTCCCTCTCTTTCCTAATTTTCAGTCGGTCATTTGTTTTTTCTTTGTTTCTTTTTGGGAAAGTGCCATGTCATCAGAATTTAAAATCCTGTAAACTGTCTGTAAATGGTCTCCTGTACTTCCAGCATAATTCTTGTTTATTATAGGCAAAATAATTCTCTTATCTTACCAGTCCCAGGAAAAAAAACTAAAATCCTAAAAAGAAAATAAAACTCTAATCTAAGAGGAAAAACGAATCCTATTGTAATAATAACTAACTACTATCCTATTCATAATAGGATTGTCCTACATCAATTATAGCTCAACTCCTACAGGGCTGTTCCTACATAATAGAATTGCGTGTTAACGGAAGTCGGTTGAATACAAAAAAAACTTCGAATGACCTTCCACTATTATGAAAACGATACCTTGAGGATAAAAATTATTCTTGAAGGAAGATTTCCCCCATCAATGCAAAAGGAAATGCCAATAATTTTACAATAAACGAACAGTGAATAATATCAAAACTGCGGCTTTATAACATTTTACAATAAACGAACAGTGAATAATATCTGAGTGGACACTCTGCAATTTGGCTCCGGGCTAATCCAGCCTTAAAGTCCAGCTAGGGCGGAGACACTATTGACCGATGATATTCAACGATCGTAATAGTCGAAAATATAATTCAGTAATGCACTAAAACGTAAAACCGTATGAATTAAGCCAAATAAGCTTAATTCACAAATAGTTCTGTGTGAAAACTAAAGCATAATTAATTTCTTGAAATAATTTCAAATTACTTCAATAGCAGAGAGTTCAAAGAATCTCTGGTCAAACCAAACAAAGCAGAAGACAAAAGAAGAACCAAATGAATAAAAGCAAGAACCAGTTATTTCTCCACAATAAATGCTGACGAGTAAATAAAAAAATGAAATAAAAACAGTGACAGTACTCCTTTTTACTGCAATAGATGGTCAAGAACATTAAACTGAAACCAATAAACTGATTAGTCATAATTAATGAATGAAAGTGACATAATTTCACTTGAATTTCATTAAAAAAGATCCTGACAAATTATCAAAACAAAACGGGAAAATCACATGAACTCCAAAAATTTATGATAAAAGGGCAGCATAAAGGAAGTAAGGAACTCCCAGCAAAAGAAACTAACCAAAAAGGCATTTCAAGAAACGAAAAATTATTGAAAGAAGATTGCCAAGGGAAAAAGGGATAGACGAGAAAAGATTCATCGTCCAACTCATGTATAGTAAGAAGATAAACAACAAGAATCTCACAACCCTATAAACAAAAACTCAATCCAGAAAACCAACTGTCAATCTGTCATGGAACTTGGAAGAGCCAGCCAACAAAAGCTAGCTAATGTGGTTGGAGGACCCAAGCCCATATAAACCACACAAAGGAAGCTCTCACTTCCGATATGGGACTCAGGTTCCCATAAACCCCATTGGAAACCATGACACCAACATTTCTAACCCATTTTTTAACAAACGCCCACAGACAGAAAAGCATTAAAACAAAACATAAAAAGTGAAAGTACCAGATGAAGCCCCTTTTTGACAGAACGATTTAAATCACAAAACTTGGTTATGGGCGACAAAACTAAAGGGGCAAAGAAAGGCCAAAGGTGCTCATCGTTCACTGGCGTCCACCGGTCTCGTCATCGTCGATTGACGGTGTAAAAGATCAGGTCCACCGTCCACACCTCCGCAGGACCGCAGCATTCACTTTTCGTCTCCCTCCGTTTTCAATTTGGGAATTGGATTAGGTTGAACCCATAAATCCATTCTGTGAACCAATGGCAATAGGCAATAACCATGGATTGGGCCATTAAAGCCCAAACAATAAGAAAGGGCAAAAAAAATAAAATTCAGGCCCAATCTTCATCATTTCCTCATTTCAGGCGCAGCCGGGTCTTCCTTCATTTCTTCCCAGTTTCCGGCGGACGGCGCCTGAAGCTCCTGGCGGATCCAGCACGGGCGGCCGCGGGGGCTGGCCAGGTGCTGGATCCGCCCCTGTATGACATAATGGTTTTGGGGAGGCCATACAATTTAACAATTTCAATAAAGTGCAATGTGGCAACCATCTACAGTATCCGACTGTCCTCCTTGCAAATCAAGAAAGATATTCTTAAAATCGGGACATGTCTCGTAATCTTCCTTAAGGCACTCAAAGCCGACGTCTCTTTGAACCGATCAGTAGGTCAAATCTACCTGCAAAATGTTAGAAAAAAATACTCTCCTTTGTTTTTGTCTCTCTCTCTCTCTTTTTGTTTTTT